GGAAGGTTGTCCATGGGCGGGAGAGGCCTTGACCCTCCAGCAAAGCGGCAGAACCAGCCGCAGTACTGGGGGACACCTGGGGGAGTTGCTGAGGGGTCCCTGCCCCTGGTGGGAGGCTGCACCACACCCATGATGCTAAGCCCAGGCGGCACATTGGAGCCCTGGGGGTAGATTTCTTTCTAAAATCCCAGTTCTTCCTCATCCTCGCCCCACCAGAGGCTCTGGTTCAGCCGATCTGAATCTGGTGGGCCTAAGTCTGAGCCTTTTAAAGCTCCCGGGTGGGTCTGACGGGGTCCACGTTTGAGGACCAGGCGTAGGCACCGCACAGCCGAGCCTCCCGCTCTGCACCAGTTGCACTCATTCGGAGGCGACCGGAAGCTGCCCCAGACGGCAGCATCACAGCATGTCACGTCTCATCTGGGCACCGTCTCTTGGCTTCCTAGGACGGCTGCCAGGGCTTTCCTCTTGCCTGTGGCCCCTCAGGCCACTTCCGTCTGACACTGACGCCTTTCCTTGCCTTTTGGTGGGCTGAGCTAAGGTCTCGTCGTGGTCATTCTCGTGAGGCTCTGCATTGTGATTGTCGTTCTTCAAGCCCACGTGCTGCTTGCTAGCGGATGGCGTCTTTTCACTGAGGGTGATGGTGTGCCAGGTGGGTGCCCTTCCCTCCAGGAGCTCACGTCCTAATAAGGAAACCCGGATGACGGAGCATGGCCATTTTCCCCGCATGCAGAGTGTGTAGAGATTGGTTATTTGTGCAAGAGTAAGGTGTCCCCCAGGCGGCCACCCTACCTGATGCATCTCGGGGCAAGCCCACTGCTGGGTCTCCCTCCCCCAGTAGGTGCGTCAGTGTCTCTCAAACGTCATCACACGAGAGAGAGACCTGGGGAGTTAGTTTTGGGGTGTGGCCTGAGAGCCTTCACTTTTTGGGAGCACCCCCCACCCCCTGCCCTATACACCAGCTCCCTGCCCAGGTCATCCTGGTACAGGCGCTCTGCGTCCCACACGTGGAAATACCAACACCGTGTTTAAAATAAGTTTGAATCTGTGCTCACTTTCGGGCGGAAGTCATGTCTTCCTTTCCTCAGTTGCGTCTAAGGATGCTTGTTGGTAAATCCCTCCCTGCGTTTCCTGTTCCTCGTTTCCAGAGCTTATTGCATGTGAACCGTCCTTGGACTGATCCTGGTGTATTGTTCCCAGTTTATCTCTTCTCTCCTGGTTTCCATCGCTTTTGCTTTTCTGTCCTGATGTCTGGGAGATCCCCTCAATTTTATTTTCCTGCAAACATACTTTTATTTAGCTCGGGGCAGGGCAGTCTTCGGCTGTTTTCATTGATGGGCTCTGGTGTCGTGATGGGGGTGGGGGGTTGGAGGGGCGGGGTTAGGACTTGCAGGCTGCTGGGCATCCCATGGGGACCAAGGGGGTTTGGGCCATCTTACTGGGGTCCCCGACACCCGGGGTCTGTGTATCTCTTCTCCCGGTTGGTCAGGTTCCCTGGAGACCTCCTGAGTTCCTGGTCCAAATGAAGAGAAGGGGCCGGGACAGGGACAGAAGTCCCCCTGCCCACAGTATGGACTCGGACTCCACCTCTGTGTTACCTGTGTGGCCCCCACATCCCCACGTGCAGGTCGCACTCCAGAATGGCACCTTCCTCTTTTATGCGACAGAGACCAGGACAGTCATCCACTGTCATGTGGCAGGACTGGACCTGGGAACCCACTGTGACCTGGGCACACTCTGAACCCGTCTTCCTGCCTGCGACCCGTTGCCAGGAACCTGTGATTCAATTCCTGAGCCTTTCTGGAATTTTCTGCTGTACAGCGGCCAGCTCGTCTGGTCTGCCCCGGAAGGAGTGTGCTCGCTAACCTGCCTTGTCTCCTTGGTTTTCCTTTTTCTGTTTGTCCTTGCGTTCAGGTGTGTTAAAAAGGAAACCCCTTTGCTGCCTTTCTCTGTGGGATTTCAGGAGGGGGCAGGGACTTGGCCTGTCTGCCATGTGGAGGTGGGAGGTGGCTTTGTAACGAAAGACACGCTAGACGCCCAGGGCGGGACTGTGTCTGGGGCTCTGCGTCTCGTGATTTTCTGAGTCCTCTGCCGGGGCGCCTGGAGACGGTGCCAAGCCCGTTGGGTTGTGGTTCCAGCACTTTCTAAGGCTTTGAGTTCCTGGGCTGAAATTAATTTGATCCACGTAGGTGTGTGGGCTGGGCCGTGTGGTGTATTTATGGGGATTGACACGCTTTCCCAGACCTGCCATCTGTAGGTGTTTTCTAGAAGCCTTATCTACTTTAATTAGGAACCGGACAATGTTGTCTTTGTTTGTTTTGCAACATGGACTTGAGCTTGGCCTTGTAGGAAGCTCGTTAGACGCTTAGATAAGGAATTTTGTGTTTTCTCACTGTTTCTTCTGCTCCTATGCTGGAAGGAAAAGCTATTTTAACTGCCCAGACCATAAATTCACAAAGCTCGTCACCCCCTCCACTTTTCTGCGTGGAAACCGCTTCCTCTGTTTTTTCCTTCCACCTCGTATCTGCTGATAAAAAAGGGCCAGCAGGTGGAGTCCGCTTAAATAAAGAAACGTGCGGAGTCCGTGCTGTGTGGCTTGTTAGAGATACCAAGGGCTTGGTGGGTGCCAGGAGACCTGGTCCTGGAGACCAGGATGTTGGCTTCTGGGAAACTTCTTTTCTGCAAGTGCAAAACGGAAATAATGACACTTGTCTCCAGAATGCCCAGTCATTCCCAGATGGCAGGCAGGTTGCAGGCAGGGATGTTGACCTTTAGCTCTGGGGCCATCCTGGGCTGCGGGGCCCCGAACTGGCCAGCAGAGATTTGCGACAACTGGACCTTCAGAAGCTGTCTTCAAGAGGTGGTCTGCCATTTATCGAGACCTGCAATTTCCCTCAGTAATGATTCGTTATTTTCAGTGTGGAGGTCTTTCACATACAGATTTCCTCCTAAGCATATCCTATTTTTTGTTGCTACTGTAGATGGTATCGGTTTTTGTGTTTTTTTATAAAGGTTTTATTGGAGAATTGGGGAAAGGGGAACAGACAAGTTGCTGTCCTTTTGTTCTTCAGTCTAGTTGTGGAGGATGTTGCTTCACTGGCCCAAGTTGGCACCATCATTGCGCTCTTCCCAGGTGAGGCAGATCAGTCGCCGGTTTCTGGACGGCTGCTCCCAGCGTCTGCTGGCCGCTTACGCTGGCTGCTGGCTACACACGGTAGCCCATGGCAACCCACTGCAGCAGGGGCTACAGCCTATGTCGTCGCCGGTAACTCATGGCAGCCCAGCTCCAGGTTGAGCTGTTGTTCAGCATCTTAGCTGTGGAGGGCAGTGTCACTGGCCCTCATATGTGGGATCCGAACCGGGGCCCTCGGGTGTCCCAAGCCAGCTCCCAACCAACTCGCCACTCGGCTGGCCCTAGATGGTATTGTTTTTAAATTTCCATTTCCAATTGTTTGTTGCAACTGGATTAGAAACACAGGAATTGTTTTTATTGTATATTCATCTTGCGTCCTCTGGTCTTGCTAAAGTCAGTTGTTACTTCTAGTAATTTCAGAGTCACGTGGATCCTTTAACATCGTCAAATGATCCTCAGATGCCATGTGACCCTGTTGTGACAGCTGGGTGCTTCTAGAACAGGGGTTGCAAAGGAAATGCCGTGTCCTGTGCACCAGGGAGCGGTGTGCCCTGGTGCAAGGGAGGGCTCCCTGCGTTCGCGCTGCCTGAGAAGCAGTCCCGCGTGACCTGCCTCTTACCTAGGCACTTCCCCGCTCACATTCTTTCCACGCCCAGGAGTCCTGTATGTCCATCCGTCCATCTGTCTGTCTGTGCAGCACTGGAGGAGGTGGAAGAGTTGTCCTCCAGCTGAGGTCAGCAGAGGATGAAAGGAAGATGGCTTCCTCCCGGTGGTCACAGGAGATGGTCTGTGAACGTGGCCTGAGCTTGGTCCTGAGAACTGGGTGGGGATGGGTGGTTGGGTCAGCCAGGGGGAAGGCCTTCCAGGGGGGCTGTTCATGGAGAAGCGGTCTCTGCTCCAGAGAGAAAGCTAGAAGACAGTGTGAGAGATGTCACCAGTGCTCAGCCTGGCTGAGCGTTTGTACCACCTGGGGGGCATTTGCGCGTGAGTGACTCCTGGATCCCAGGCCAGCCTCCTGAGCTCACATCTCAGGTGGGCCTGGGGACACCCAGACAGACTGAGTCTACACTCGGTCCGACGAAGTCCAAGGAGGGAGCCCCTGGCCTACGGGATCTCGCTGGGGGGTCTGCGCAGGCCACACAGCTGTGAGTCAGGACCGACTTCCTGGCTTGGTGTGTGGACGTCATTCTCTGTGCTGTGTGGGGGACACTGGAGGTTGCTGGGCTGGGCTGTTGGGCAGCCTGGTATCCTTGGGATATGATTCAGGAAGGACAAACGTGTGGACCTGGGGGACACCCCCAGAGGGAGCCTGCAAAAGCATCTCCCTCTAGGCGGCTGGCTTGATAATTAAAAAATTTTAAACTCCCCAGAGGGGAGGGGTGTTTTTTCAAGACCCTTTTTAGGAAAACAAGAGATGAACATTGAAGTGATGGTTGATGGGGAGCGGTTCTCACAACCATTGGAATAATAGGAATTAGGGGAAATCCAACCTCAGCTTAAGCACTGTCATTATGTCTGATAGCAGGACTGGGGTAGCCGCGGTCCCACCCAGGGTGTGGTCAGGGGTGTCCCCAAGTGAGGCACCTACAGACGGGGCCTTGGCACCTGGGCAGAGTGTCTGCCCCCACCCCCACCCCACAGGGCCTGACACTTGGGAGCGGCACAGAATGCTGTTGAGAGCCCCAGCGCTTGATTTGACATTTTGAAAGCATTTTCATCACTGATACTTCGTCTGCCCGGACGTCTCAGAGCTCTGTAACCTCGTGTGACGCGCCCGGTTCCCAGACTCAGCCATTTGACTTAGCCGCTGGTCACCCCTGGTTTAGAAGGTGCGTCAGCCCTTCGAAAGCCCCTGGAGACGGCGGCTGCCTGAGCTGGAGCAGCCTTAGGTAGGTGACCCTGCTGCCACCCCTCAGCGCGGCCCTCGGCGCCCTGGAGAAGCCACGGCTGGTGGTGTCAGGAACACCCCACCTCCTCCTCCTCCGCGGGCGCAGGGGCATTGTGTCTGTTCAATATTGGAAAGACTCCGAACCCCCGCCCCCTGCACCCCTCGTACTGGATCTAAGAGCTTGCGCGTCCTTGTTGGTGTTTTCTCTGGGCTGGTGTCGCCTCCCACGGGCGCCCAGGAAGCTCTTGCTGCCTTGCGGCTAGCTGCGCTTCCCCGGTCGTCCAGCAGGAGGCGTGAGGGGAGGAGGCATCGTGGGCCTGGACCCACGCCCCTCCCCTGCATTCACAGCCAAGGTCAGAACTCAGCAGAGGGACCCCAGCTACCCGCGGGGGGCTGGGACGTGCACCCCACTGTCCGGACGGCGATAACCAGCGGGGCCAGGGAGCCCTGTTTTACTTCACATAAATGCATGTTATTCTTTGTTACAGTCTAACATTAATTTCGGGAACAGAGGGAAGGGCTACCAGCAGGGAAGTCTAGCTGCCAGGAGTCTGAAAGGGCAGGGGTTTGGGTTCTTTCCATGGCCTTCTAGAAGGAAGCAGCCTTGACAAGACCTCGGCGTTGCCCTGGGTAACTCATGTCGGACTTCTGCCCTCCAGAACTGTAGGGGGATGCGTTTCTGTTGCTGTAACCCCTGAGTCGGGGGTAATTGATTACAGCAGCGCCAAGAGGACATTTACGGGGCGTCCGGGAGCCTTGCTCTGAGGGATCTTACAGGAAGGTATCGCCTCTTGGGGTTTTCTTCCAGAAGTTGGCGGTTTTGCTTTTTCACATTGAAGTCCCTGTGCGTCTGGCACAGATTTATGGGTACAGGGCGATGTGGGCTCGATTTCTTATACCCTCCATAGGAGAGCCCGCTGTGTCAGCGTCCTGTACTGGCTGGTGCATTCCCCTCGGATGCCCACGTTTACGGCCTGTCCCAGGGGTCTCTGCTCTTTCCATCGATCTGCTGGCCGGTCTTTGTATTAATAACACGCTGCCTCCATATTATAACTGTTTATAAAGTGCTGGCATTTGGCAGAGAGATTCTCCTGTTTCCAAAGGTGCCCTGGTGACAGCTGGCTCTTTCCCTCTCCTGGGAACACTGAGAGCTGAGTGTCGAGTTCCCGGAACATTCCCACCAGGGTCTTCATTGGCAGTCCACGTCAAATTTGTTATTTTGTGGCGATTTTCCGTCTTTAAGATACTAAAGCCTAACGTGTGAACATAGTATCTCTCTCCATCTATCTGGGTCTTCCTTCGTTTCTTTTTATTTTTTTAAAAAAGTAAAGCTATGCTTATTTTCTCCATAAAGGTCGAGCACATATTTCTAAATTTCTAAAATTTCTAAAAATTTCTAAACATTTAGAGCACATATGTCTAAATGTTTTAGACATTTTTTTCCCCTTAGCAATCTTTGGTTATTGTTGGCGCTGCAATGACATTATTTAAAATGTTTTTCAATTGTTTATTGCCAATGTAACAATTCGGCAAACTTTTGTGTAGTCCTTTCTTACCTAGCATTTTGCAGGGCGTTTTCACTAGTTGAAATAATTTATCTCTAGATTCTCTTGGCCCTTCCCTGCAGAAAAGCATATTATCTGAAAAATAATTATTTTTCCTCCTTTCCTTTTAATCCTTAAGCAGTTCACTCATCTGTTTGCTCATTTATTTATTATATTGTTTGCTGTAGGATTTGGATAGATGCCTTGTTCAAGGTAAGGAAATTCTCTTTTATTTTTAGTTTTACATGAGTTTTGGTCCTGATTTGGGGTCCTTGTTCCTTGATGTCCACTCCGGGACGGTCCCGGGTCTGGGCCCCCAGTCTCTGACTGGCACAGGAACCTGTGGACTCAGGTTTGAGAGGTGCGGAGAGGGGCAGCCCCTTCTGTGTCTCTAGGTCGTCTCCCAGGGAGCCTTTCACTGTGGGTGAAGCTCATATTAGTCTCTGCAAAAATGTTGGCTGGTTGGCCAAGCGTGTCATGAGGTCAGGAGTCGGGTGCACACTGGTCGGTGAGAGCCTCTCAAATGATACTCCAGGAAACTCAGACGCCAGCCCAGGCAGAGGTGGCGCTTGCCCCGAATCCGGCATCGCCCTGCTCTCTGGCATGTGCTCTGACCCCCGATCTCCCCACTGGACCCTGACTCAGCTCCCAGAAGGCTGGTGCCTTTCTCCAGTCCAGCCATCAGGTATCTGGGGCGCTGTGTTGGAAGGCTTGGTGTCGCAGACACTTCTCGAGCTGCCCACACCCTCGACCAGTGCCCGTGACTTCCGGTTCCTTTTTAGTTGTGGCTGTGTTGTGCAGGTGCCGGGAGGACAGACGAGCATTAAAGGAACACCAAGAAGCAAGGCCTGCTTCTCTTCTGCCTTCCCACTGGCCTGCTGTTCCCCAAAACCCCCAAACCTGGTCTCAGCCCCGTGTTTACTGTCGTCTCCTAGACGGCGATTTCCACAGTGGACAGACGCAGCTTCCTCCAGTACTCGTTTCCATCTCACAGGTTCCCGTGGGCCAGCTCCCAATCCTGTGGCCTTGACCCCACTGCCAATGTCAGTACAGACTCCCAGGGCACAGTCCCCTTGGGGGGCTCGCTGCTTTGGTGATGAGCACATTTTTTTTTTTTTTTGCAAAAGAGCAATTATAAAGCTGAGCTGACAGAAACTGCATTTTTGTGATGATCTTCGTAGGCCTTGCAGCTCTCACCTTGATAAAGTCAGCTTCAGACACACGGTTTTGTGTTTGTGTTTATGTGTCTCCTGTCCCAGGTCAGGTTTCATAGGTGGCGAGTCGGAAAATCTACCTAGCTGTCCATCAGACGTACTGTTAGGGGCCCAGTGTGCCAGTTTAAGATTTTACGATTCATCGGAACAATTTCGGGTTTCCTTGGAACACTTTAGCGGCACAATATTGAGTCTCTGTTAATGTTGCTTTTACTGCTGTTAGTTTACCTTTCCTTTCTTATTCATAGGTGTTGTGGAAGGACCCATGAGTCAAAAACACGTTCCAAGAGTCACTGAAATTTACCGGCCTGTTTTTGTTTTTGTTTTAATAAAGATTTTCTTGGGGAATTGGGAGAAGGGGAACAGACAAGTTGCTGTCCTTTTGTTCTTCAGTCTAGTTGTGGAGGACACTTCTTCACTGGCCCGTGTTGGTATTATCACTGCGCTCTTCCCGAGTGAGGCAGTCGCTTGCTGGCCATTGGACGGCCGCTCACGGCGGCTCACACCGGCTGCTGGTCACTCAAACTGGCTGCCAGCCACTCACGGTAGCCCATGGCAACCCACTGCAGCCCCACTGCAGCCTACGCCGTTGCCGGTGACTCCTGGCAGCCCAGCTCCAGGTCGAGCTGTTGTTCACCATCTTAGCTGTAGAGGGCAGTGTCACTGGCCCTCATGTGGGATCCGAACCGGCGGTCCTGCTGCTCAGAACTGGCACTCCAAGCCAACTCTTAATTACCGTGCCAGTCAGCTGGCACCCAGCCTGTGTTTTATAGCGTGAGATTCCCCCACCCCCAATATGTCGTTTGCCTGCGGGTGGTGATAACCGTCCCTCTCTGACCTGGTACTGACTTCCCCCTGGGAAGCCAGGTTTCAGATTGAGTTTTGCACTTTCCTTCCCTGTCTGTGGAGCCTCCCTGCCCCCATTCACGATGGGGTGACAAGGTCAGAGAGCCGACACAGCCCCTTCGTTCCCCACGATGCTGCCTGGGCGCTCAGTGAAGGGTGCCCAGTTCCGTTTGAATTTCAGATGAGTAATTATTGAGTGTATGTCTCATGTACCATTTGGAAAATGCTTAGAGTAAAATGGATTCGTTGTTTATCCGAAATGCAGATGTAACCAGACACCCTCTGTGTTACCTGGCGGGCGGACCCAGGGGTTAATAATTAAGTGTGTTCCTAGGTGTTTGCTTTTCCCAGGGATTTGCTGATCACCTTGCTGAAGCCTCTTGTTAAGGTCAGAACCCTCTCACCCAGGCCTCTGGCCTCGGGCTCGCAGACGGTCCTGGAGAGAGCCAGGCTGTGGGTGATCGCCCGAGAGATGGCACCTCTCAGACCCGTGGGGCCTTCTACCTGACCTTTGTTACAGGTGTCACCCCCATGCCAATGTGAGTGGCAAGCGTGTGTCTTGTGGTGGGGCCACTTGCCGAATGGGAGGTCTGAGGATAGCAGGAGGGGCTGGGGACACAGGGGCCCTTCCTCTTAGGGTTGTCAGTTTTGTTTCCGGAGTTGAGTTTGATTTCAGCCTGGCATAAACATTTTCAAACCACCCCCCCCCCTTTTTCTTCTGCAGAGAAGACCCTAAAGGTTGTGCTCACTTCATAATTCAGAACTATGAGTACACGGCGGGTAACCAGCTGGGGCTGGTGTGTCCAGCCAGAGACGTGTGTGTGGCCTGCAAAGTGACCATTAAAAAACAAGCTCCCAGCTTTTATACACTCCAAATGTTTGCCGAAAATCTACCTCTCTAAACGCAGCAGGTCTGGTCACACAGGCCGTGTCCTGCAGGTCTTGTCACATGGGCTGGTCACAGGGGCCATGTCCTGCAGGTCTGGTCACA